GTGAGGCTCTTGACTCGTCGACCCTAGACCCGCCATCAGGAACAACCCATCATGCGTGAAGGGCATCCAGGTTGTTGAAGTAGAGAGAGGGTCAGTGAAAATGAGAGCTGCCCTCTAAGAATGGGTGACACTGTAGCCGAGACCACGGCCCTCAAGCATGCCAATGACCAGGAAGGAGGCTTTGGACTGGGCAGGGTCTTGTCCCCTTACACACCAGGTCGCCACGCACCACAGCCAGTTCAGCGGCAACCAGCAGCCGCAAGCTGGACAGACACAATTCTGACCGAGGGCAAGGGGGACAGCGGGCATTGCCACTGCCATCCCCAAGCCCCAGGGGAGAGGACACGTTGGTAGATAAAGATCTCTTCGTCATCATTGACTGTCTGGTTCTGAATGCCAAAGGTGGCTGTGCCACTGAGGATGGGTCACTGAGATCCCACCCCTGCTGGCTTAGTGGACGCTTCCTTCCCACCCTGCCATTGCTGCTGCTGCTGCTGCGGTTAACTGCTGGGGAGGTCACCCCCACCCCCACCCCCACCCTTCCTCATGGCCACCCCAGGCACAATGGAAAGACGCATCATACCCTATCCTGTGCCATCTCCATGATCCATTGCAGGTCAAAATACGGTGACCCAGAAAACGGCGAGGTTGGAAGTAGATCACCAAGACTTTCTTCCCAGTCTGGATTGGCCCGGAAGGTCTGCTGAAACCTGTTCAGATTCCTAGTACCACACAAGCCACTGGGGACAGAGTGATCGTGGCCGCCCTGGAGGTGCCTTGGCCGGGTCTTAAACCCAGGGCCTCCCTCGTGGGCAGTGAGAATTCTGCCGCTGTGCCACCGGCGTGTCATGGTGCTGGCGAGAACCTTAGCGCTTCTGCCTGGGCGCTTTAGGGGAATCTGCAAAAGGCCTGGTTGGTTGGCTGGGCTCTTTCACTGGTAGATGCTGTGTGTGTCTGGTAATCGAAGTGGGGGAATCTCTGTCCATTGAGTCCTAGGTCCCTGCTCGCCCCGGGCACACTGCAACGAGCCCAGGCATCAGCAGACTTCCTGTCACGCCTGGCCAGAGTCCAACAAGTTTTGCGTCCTCTGGAAATGTTTTGAGGGCTCCCTAAGGTGCATTTCTCTAGACGCCCCCACTCCCCAGCCCACCACTTCCTGTGGTCTGTTGCCAGAATCTGTGCAGCTAGAATAAAGCCCTTTAGCGCGCTCACCAAACAACAAAACACTCACTGCCTACGAGTCACGGCTGACTCAGAGTGACCCCATAGGACAGAGGAGACTCGCTCCTGTGGGTTTCCAAGACTGTAATGAAGTGGGTAGAAAGCCCTTCCTTTCTCTGTATGGGAGCAGAAAGCCCTGTCTTCCTCCTGAGGAGCAGCTGGTGGTTTCGAACCACTGACCTTGTAGTGAGCAGCCCACCACGTAACCATGCCACCACTAGGGATCCTACAGTAGGAGACAGCACCAGCTGTCTCTCAAAGAGCAGCTGGTGGGTTTGAACTGCTGACCTTGTGGTTAGCAACC